CGTTTTAGGCGACTGCATTTCAATTTAGGCCTTGATCTTTTCGGGGTTAGCTTCGATACCTCGCTACTTGACCATGAAACCCAAGAACTTTCCAGATCCTACACCGAAGGCGCATTTCTCCGGATTAAGTTTCATTTGATGCTTTCGTAGGGTGGTGAAAGTCTTGCAGGTCGGCCAGATGATCAGTGGAGAGCTTGCTCTTGACTAGCATGTCGTCGACATATACTTCCATGTTCCGGTCTATCTAGTGATGAAAGACGGCATTAACCAACTGTTGGTAAGTGGCTCCAGCATTTTTTAACCCAAATGGCATCACACGGTAATGGTAGGTTCCCCAGTCGGTGATGAAGGAGGTGTGTTCCTGGTTGGACGGGTGCATTAGAATTTGGTTATATCCAGAGAAGGCAACCATGAAACTGAGCATTTGATGACCGGCCGTGACGTCAACCAGCAGATCTATGCGAGGAAGAGGATAGCTGTCTTTGGGGCAAGCTCGGTTGAGGTCGGAGTAGTCAACACAGAGTCGCCATTTACCATTGTTTTTACGAACCAGAACCACATTCGACAGCCATCTGGGGTAGTCCACATTTGTGATAAACTGTGCCTCAAAGAGCTTATCTACTTCAGAAGCAATAAGGTTATTGCGCTCCAGGTGAAAGATTCGCTGCTTCTGGCGGATGGGTCGAAAATGGGGCTCAATGCTGAGACGGTGGGTAATGAAGGAGGGGTCAATACCTGGCATGTCGGAGTGGGTCCAGGTAAATACGTCGTTGTGCTCAATCAGGAGGGTAGTGAGGTCGGCCTTGGCCTGGGAGGATAGTTGGCTACCGATCTTGGCAGTTTTTGCTGGGTTAGTGCGTTAGATGAGGACCTCGACAAGCTCTTCCACTGGTTCCCCCCTAACCAGCTCATCATCGTCTCTAACGTCGAGTCCTTCAATGATCATGGTCTCCTTGAGCTTGACCTCTTTAAGTGAGGCAACATAACATTCCCTGGCCACAGTCTGCTCTCCCCTAACCGTGCAGACCCCAAGATCGGTAGGGAACTTGACAGCAAGATGGAAAGTGGATGTAATAGTTTGAAAGGCATTTAGGGCGGTATGGCCGAGGATGATGTTGTAAGCAGATGGATAGTCGACGACCAGGAAAGTAAGCAACTTGGTGGTCTGCCGTGGGTATTCTCCAATGGTGATGGGAAGATCGATGGAGCCGGTGAAGATCACCCGGTCTCCAGTGAAACTGACCAACGGGATTTGGAGAGGAGGCAGACTTTCTTCCCCGATCTTGAGCTGGCAGAAGACATTTAGGAAGATGATGTCTGAAGAACTACCATTGTCGACGAGGACCCGTCTAACTTTGTAATTGGAGAGGAGGGCAGAAATGACGAAGGGGTCGTCATAGGGGTAACGGATGCTTGTGCAGTCGGCTTCCGTAAAGGTGATGGGCTACATCCACTGCTTGGGCTGTTTGGGAGGGCGGTCTAATGTGGCAACTTCTTTGTCTGAGCCCTGTCTTATTTTTTTGAGTTCTGCTCGCTGAGCCGAGCGGGATGGACCTCCACAAGCAAGCCCGCCGGTTATGACTTTGATTTCTCCGACAGGGGGGCCAGGGTTACCTTGTGCTCGGGGTTGCTGTGGAGGGCGATCATGGCCAGGGTTAGGTTGTGCTGGTTGCCGAGGAGGAGTGCGCCGGCGGTTGTTTCTGATGGGCTCGGTCCTTTGCTTTTGCTAAGGACGGGTGTCCGTGAACCGACTGAGCCGTCCATGACGTATCAAGCCCTTGACCTAATCTTTGAGGTTAACACACTCCTCAGTATTATGACCGTGGTCTTGGTGAAAACGGCAATATTTGGACTAGTCTCGCCGATTAAAAGGAGAGCGTGATGTTTGGGGCCATTTTAGGGGGTAGTCTTGTTGGATCTGATTGAGGACTTGTTCCATAGGGGAATTAAGGGGTGTGCATCGTTTGAACCAGCCGGGCGGTCGGGCTGGTGCCGACCGGTCGGCTTTGGGGGGTCGATCGGTATACTGAGGTGTTTGGTTATTGTACTGAGTGTTTCTGGTTTCTGAGTCCTTTCTCTTCTCTCTGGGGGTTGGGTTTTTGGCTGTAGGGTCCTCGCGAGCGGCTAGGGAATCTTCTGCGTTCATGTATTTTTGGGCTTTGGAAAGAAGGGTTGCCATGGAGGTCGGGGGGTTTTTTGAGAGGGAGAAACGGAAATCAGATGATCGTAGGCCGACCATGAATGCCGTGAGGATGACCTTGTCATCGTTTTCCGCCACCTGCAGGGCTTTGGTGTTGAAACGGGTGACAAAGCTGCGCAGCGACTCCCCCTCAGTCTGACGGATGTTGAGGAGCTGGGTTGCCGGACGCCGCTGGCGTTGGGCTCCAATCAAATGGCTGAGAAAGGAGTCACTGAGGTGCTGGAAAGTGGAGACAGAGTCTGCTGGCAATTGACTAAACCAGAGTTGAGCCGACCCCTTGAGTGTCACGGGGAAAGCCCGGTACATGATTTTATCGGGGAATGCATGGAGGATCATGAGGGTTCTGTAGGTCTCCAAGTGACCGACTGGGTCCATTGTACCGTCAAAAGAGTCGATTGTGGACATTTTGAACTTAGGAGGTAGAGGTTTGTCCCTGATGGAGGCAACAAATGGGGAGTTGGCTGTAGTAGATGGTTTATGCTGTATGTTCTGCATTACCCTTTGGAGTTGGAGCTTTATGGCTCGGAGTTCCGCGTCCTAGAGAGGAATGTTGTCACCACCGGAAGGCAATGGGGCTGGACGCTACTGGCCTCTCCTTCAGGGGTTGGTGCCGGGATCGACAGATGCGGGCCTCGGGGTGGCAGGTTTATACCTGGGGGAGGGGGTTGCAAGCCTTCCACGTTGGGTGGATTAGGCTACAGGATAGTATGGCTCGAGGCTCGTTCTTGGGTGGGTAGGATATCTGGAGGCGGTGGAGGAGGCATAAGAAGGTTTCTTTGGAGTAGAGCATTAATCAGGGCTTGGTTTTGCTCGGCCAGGCAGTTAATGCTGTTGGTGAACTCGGTGAAATACTGTGGTGGGTTATTTGGATTGGGAGGGTCGGCTTGATGATCGGTAACATTGAGGTGAGAGGCCATGGAGCTAGTTGTGACCATCCACCTTCACAGGTGGTAGGAGGGGGTTATTGGGAGAGGGTCTCCGGCGACAATGAGCACAACTGGCGCGCGGAACAAAATCGCTTCCCATAGACGGCACCAACTGATGATACAGCAGGTTCTAGATAGAATGGGTCGGACTGATCCACACTTCCCAAACCGGTATCCGAGTGACCAAGCCCACGGAGGAACCTGCACAAGAGTTCAACGGGGAACGGGGAGTCCCCCAGTGAACCTTTCAACGAGCAAGTTAGAAAGTGAAGTGGAATGTAAAGATAGATTAGAGATAGAAAGCTTAACCTTTTTCTTATCTTCGACGTCTGCTTATATCCTCTGGTAATCATTTCGTTGTCCCTTTCGACCTGTCACCTTAGCCGCAAGTCTATGCTCTAGCTTACCTTGTTCATGGTGAAGGCGTTCTGTCCCGACAGAGATGAGTTATCGCAATAAATGCTGTAAAGGGTTTCATTAATGGCGATGTGCAGTGACAATAACTTTGCAGATCTTTGTCTACTTATGTGGCTTGCCCTTCTCTTGCCATGTGTCTTGATGTCATTGGTTCTTATTGTTACGTGGGGTTTCAGCAATACTGGACTTTAGTATTTGAGTTATGTACTGGGCCCTAAATGGTGGACTATAATCTTTATGGGCTTACCCATGTCAAAATGTGACACATGTCACTTAGTCAACATCTTATTTGTTGAATATTACACATTTCTCTACCTCACCAATTGTCGTCGGCCGCTGGTCACTGCCATAGGTTGCCGTCAACTTTTCTGACATATTTTTATCACTAAGCAAGATTTTATCTTAAATCTAATGATTTATACACTCTGTAAATTAGACTTTTCACCATTTTTTTTTTAAACTAAATTGATATGTATATATATATGTGTGTGTATATATTCAATTTTTATTTTGATTTTGGTTTAAAAAAATATAACTAATATCATTCAATTTTAACTCGTGATCTCTACCAATGAAAATCCATCTGTATAATATTATAAAAGTCCAAATCCTAAAATTGGTAGAAATTATTTTGGGAGTACTTACGTGTACGTTCTAATAAGTGTACTTATTATCTAATAGGACCTATGGAAAAAATTTGTCATAAAAAAGTCATTAATTGTAAATTTTAGCGACAATTTATAAAAATCATGATAAAAAAAGTCACTAATTGGCAATTTTTAAAGACATATATAAAAAATTATCACAAAAAAATTATTTTTAGCGACAATTTTACGAAAATTTATTTTTAATAGGACTTGATGAGAATTAAGTCAAATTATTAGAATTTATTAATAATTTACTCAATTATTATTTTTTGGACTATAATGTCACTGTGCTTTGTAATTTTCTCAAATTTTTTTTTTTTAGTCTAGTAAATACATAATCACTTGTTATTTTGCATAGCATATAATATTTTGATATTTTAAAAAGACTAAATAATTACTCCTCAATTCAAAAATGGATACAAAATATTTTAATATTTCAAAAAGATTAAATAATTACTCTCCAATTCAAAAATTGATACAAAATAAATATGTACAAATAAGATTTTACAAGTAAATCCTACCAATAAAATATAATAAAGGGGGTGTTTGGGAAGAAAAAAAAAAATAACCTAGTTTAGACTAAAATTTATAAAAAGATAAAAAATGTTAAAATAGTTAATAAGACAAAATATCACATCAAACTTATAATCATTTTACTTTTTCTCTCACAAACATCACATTCAATTACAAAAAATTCAATTATCTTCTCAAACACAAAAATTTTAATCTACTAAAATAATCAAAAACTAAAATAGCTTACTAAAATACCAACTTCCCAAACGAAGCCAAAATCTTATCTAAACTAAGCCTTCACGGCCGGGTTGGCATGGTGGTGGCGTAGTGGTGGTAGCCACCACAACCCAACGCCCTGATCAGCCACCAAATTCCCCACAACCCCTTCCCTCTCCTCACTTTCTCACTACCACCACCACTCCTCTGAACCACCGTCGACCGACTCCGCCGCCCCTGCCTGCTCCTTATATCCCTCAACTCCATCTCCGGCGGCATCCGAGCCAATCCAAACATCAATAAACTCCGCCGCGGCTTCACCGGTGCCGCCACTACCGACACTCTCCGAACCGGAAATCCGTACTTTTCGCCACCCTTATACCTACATTCATCTCCCACCGGCAATGACAGAGACTTCGGGCTCGAAACACATCTTCTTATCTTCGGATTTGTGGATTTAGAACTTCTGAACATCTTCGAATTCCATCGAAAAAGCCTATATTTTCGGGGTTTTTCTTGTTTACTGGTTTCGATCTTGTGGGTATGCTCTGTTTCTGAGTTTGGTTCTTTAGAAGCAATGAGTTTTCCACAGAAAACAATGTTTTGAACTTGGTACGAGCTCAAAGTGCTCCAATCTTCGCTGAAGAACTCAAAGAAGTCGTCTTGATCGGATGAGAATGATGATGATGATGATGACAAGCTTTGATCTTCTTCTTTGGCATCGCTGTACATTGGAAGATCACAGAGAGAGAGTGTCTCCTCTGTTTCATCTTCTTCTTCTTGGTATTGCTCTGCCATTGATGGATCTTTGTAAGATTCTTTAGCATTCATGACTCAGACAGAAAATATGTGAAGAAGTGTAGATTATATCGAGAAAAGAAGAATGGATAGATAGGTTCATATATATCCATGGTCCTGGATATTTAGAATTGGTTAGTAGATAGAGTAGTTTTGGAGAGAGAAAATGTATTTTTTGTTTTTGTTTTTGTTTTTTTTTATTTTAATATTGGTTGATTGGTATAGGTTCTAGAGGAATAGAATTTTATAAAATAAAAAATTGGTTGAAAAAGAAAGACAATGAGAGAGAATTAAAGGGATTTTAAGGAATTGTTAATTGAGTTAATTATACTAAGATTTTTAATATTAACAAATATTTTTTTATTTATCATTTATAAATTTATATATATTGATTCTTCTAAATATGAGAATCATACAAATACATCAGTTAATTTAAAAAAGTCTACGAAAAGTAAAAATAATATATTTTTATAATTAATAGAGTCAAAATATACAAATTAATATATAAAAGAGGTAAAGTAATATTTTTTTTAATAATTATAAAAGCTTTCGTGTAAATAACTCATTCTTAATTTTGGTGTTTCTAGAAGAAGAGCACCAGAAGGGGAGAAAAAAAAGGCAGATAGAGCGGCCATAATATTCAGAAATAGTCTCATTAATGATACCACGCGGAATTGTTTTCCTCATTTCTTGGGAAAATACTTGGGAGTCACAATTTTATTATTATTATTTTTTTTTTATCCTCATAATTTTCAATTGATTTGTAATTATACATTATTTTATTATTTTTTTCCCTCTCTCTCCTCCCTCTCACATAAGGGGGGTGGTGTTTTGCTGGGGTCTGGGGCAAAGTCCCATTTCTTGATCACAAGTTTACTAAACAAAAAACAAGTGAGGCTCCGTTTGCTTTAAAAAAAAAAATATGATAAAAAACGAAAATAATAAAAAGTAAGGTGAAAGAAAAAAAATAAAAAAATATTTTTCTATATGTATTTGAATAGATAAAAATTTTTGTAAGAAAATAATAGAAAAAAGATATAAAAAGACATAATCACTACATAATAGGGAGTTGTGGAGAGAAATATAATAAAAAAAAAATATTTGAGGTAAATAAGTAATTTTTTCTTCATATTTTGTAAGAAATTTTTAGCTTAACTAACATATTAATTTGAGTTCTACAGGAAATTTTAGTTTCCATTACTTTCTATCACTTTCTGTCTAAACGAACACATAAATTTTTTTTTTCTTTCACTTTCCTATATTATCTATTTAACCAAACTGAGCCTAAAAGAAAATTAATTTATCCCCTAATTTTACTCTCTCAATTTCATCTCTTATGAAGTGGCTAAGGAAAAATTCTTGGGTGCTACCCATCACCTAACACATAAATGTAGCCCCCACTCTCTCAACCAATGAGAGAAGAAAAATGTACTACATGACACCTACCCTCTTTATACACAAGAATTGCTCAGCGGCTAAGACTCCTAATTCTGTGTCATTGGGAAGGCAAAATTAAGAAATGTAACGTAACAGATCACATAATTGGATATAATTTTCTCATATGAGATGCGTATTTTTTTAGAGGATTTGTGATTAGTTTTTATTTAAGAAGAAGTACGGTTTGGAAAGTTTAGATATTTTTTTTAATTAATTAATTTATTTTTTTAATGTGGCATTTTTAACTTAAGAGTAAAATAATGAATGACTTGCTTAATGCGTTTTTGTAATTCTTTATTTGTCAAGAATAAAATATTATGTAAATAATATTACATGATATTCTGAAACTATTTAATAATTTTCTTGATTTGTCTCAGTTCGCTATTGGATTGTTTTATCTTGTAAATTAATGTGCATAGATTATTTATAAAAAAATCAAATTAATTTAATAATTATATTTGTTTTAAAAAAATAAATTGGTAATTTTTCAATTGTACTTGTTTATTTCTTTTATGCGGTTACAATTTTTGGATATGTATTATTGTGCTGACTATATTTTTAGTTCAAATTTATTTTTAGGTATAACTTATAAATTAATTTTTTTATTTATTATCGAAAAAAAAAATGCATAAAAGTAAAGAATTGTAAAATATATATATATATATATAAATAAAAAACTTATTTATGATGTTATCAAATAAGCTCTAAATGATCATTATATATTAATGGAGTCCACTTTTATTTTTGTATCAATCCATAAATGACATGAACATATCTCATCATTTTCAAGTCATCTACCTCTCTAGGAACCTGCGCAATACCGTGTGGGGAGTCTGTAAAGACGTGTCCGGTATTTATTTTAATAATTTGAATTGTTCATAGCATAAATTTTATTGATTAAATTATTCATAAAAAAATTTAAATTAATTAGACATTTATAATTCATAACAAGATCACGTTTATGTCTAGAAAAATAAATATTTAACATGATTTTAATAATTTTTTAGGATTATTATTCAACTTGATCATGGATTATACTTGTCTGATTAATTTATTCTTTATATAAATAATATACTTAGGCCTGATTTGACATAATTTATTATAGTTAAAAAGTCAAAAAAATTATCAAAAAAATCTAAAAAGTTCATACTTTTTCAGGGTTTGGACGGAAAATTTGTGTCTAAGTACTTAGAGGATAAAAAGACAATTTTACCCTTGCTTCAGGGTAAGAAATGAAATAAAAAAAAGAAAACAAAACAGTGCATGTCAGTGTTGCACTGCATTTCCCATTGTGCAATGACGTGGCACAATGGGAGCCACAAAAACCCATGAGCCAAAAATTGAAATGCACAGAAACCCATTCTTCCTGTTGCTAAGGGTACAACTCGGGTTGGTTCGATTGGGTTGAAGGTGTACCCAAGCCCAGCCCTAATTGTATTTGATAGTGCCCAAGCCCGCCCAAGTCCGACTATCAACCTGGGCGTGGCTGCCCAAGTACGGACCAAGCTTTATAATTTGAACTCGGGTTAACCAAAATTGCCCGATATTCACAAGGCAACAAAAAGCCACTTTACATGATAAGGCATGATTTTAATCTTGGCTTAGTGCTATGCTAAACCAGTTTCGCACACCTAGCTCCACTCGAATAACCCAACTCCACTCGCTAGCCTACCTTATTGCCTCGCCTAACCATTGCAAGCTATGATTAGAAGGGCACCATGTTGCCATGCCAATCTAGGTCAAGAGTAGGGCCTATGAACCCCCTCCGGTTGGTGTCTCAATCATGGGATGCTCGAGGAATCTATGACCCTGTGTAGGATCACTAGGTCCTTGTGGAATGGGGACTAAAGTTGGGGATCACTTTAATATTAGAAACAACTATTTAATTTAATTTATATAATATATTAAATACAATTCAGGTTTGGGTTGCTCGGGTTAGTCACTAATTCTGCCCAGGTCCGGCCCGAATTACAATTCAGGCATCAAAAATTTGCCCAGACCCATCCAGATTAGAAGATATTGTTGCCCAAGCCCTAAAAAAACTCGAGCTGGACACGGGTTACTCGGGTTATGCCCGCCCGAGTGGCACCCTTACCTATTGCTGTGTCAGGAAGGGTAAAAGAGTAATTTTGGTAGTTGCTACAATATTTTATTACATATTTTTTCGTAAAAAGACAAAAAATTATATCAAACATATATATTTTTTTCTCTACTTTTTTAGTTAAAAAATTAAAAAATACACTTATATATAACATCTCAAATAATCACTTAATGTATCTTCTAATATAAACGATTGAAATGATCGAAATAACTCTCACAAGATGTGACGATCTGGAGCACCCACCCAAGTCCTCTCTCTAGACAAATCTATACTATATATTAAGCAAAAATGAGTTTTTAACCCTAAGTCTTGTGGGAGTTTCAATCTCCTAATCTAAATTTTTTGATTTTTTGATTTAAAAAAAAAAATCTTAGCATTTATTAACTTCTCCCAACTCCTAAATCTTACCCTCATAATAACACTTTAATGCATTAAGAACAAGTATAAAAAAAAATTCTTTGAAATCCAATACATATGAATTCCTTGAAAAGTCCCAACACATATGATTATTATCCCTCATAATAACACTTTAATGTATTTAGAACAAACATAAAAAAAAAAATTCTTAAAAAGTCTAACTCATATGATTATTATCAAAATATTAAACTTTAATCTATATCTTCTCTATATTAAGGAAAATGGGGTTTCTAATCCTAGTCTTGTGGGAGTTCCAATATTCCAATCTAAATTTCCTGATTTTTTGATTTAAAAAAAAAAAAAACTTAGCATTTAGTGATTTTGGTCAAAATTTCTTGATCAGCATTTATTAACTTTTTTCAATCCACATGTCTTCCCACATGCCTGCATTTATTAATTTGATCAAAATCTTTTAATTAGCATTTAAAATTCCTTCATACAAATAATTATAGATACAATCCTTGCATAGTTATTGCAATACCTTTTTTAACTTCTCTTAGACACTATGGTTAGTGATAAGGTTGTTAAATAATTTTTATAAAAAATCTAAAAAAATATAATTTATATATTAAAAAAATCTAAAATAAATATAAATATGTATAATTATTTTGTGCATAACACGAGTGATATGGTTAGTTCTTTAAAAAGCAAAATATTTTCTTCTTCAAAGGAATGCTTCTCATGCAATTAATGGGAGCTTGTTCTCCTTCTACATTTGGGGGCAAGAAAAGTGGGAGAATAATAACTAAAATACTGTTTTTTTGGTCTGTTTTAGTTAATGAAATTAGATAAATGATTTAAATTAAAAATAAATTAAAATATTAAGATTTAAATTAATAAAATTAAAAATTAGAGTTTATTTTGTTATAAAGTCAAACACTACTTTTTTTTTCTTTTTTTTTATTTTATAATTATCCCTATTTATTTTTAAAGAATGGACAATATATTTTAAATCCATATTTATTGCTAATTATTTTTTGGAAAAAATATGATAAAAAATGGGACTATAATTATAGCTACTGTTAGACTTTCTCTTACAAAAAAATTATGATGTACATGTAAAAACTTATATGGGGAA